AGCACATATGTGCACGGCACCTAATCTTAGAACTTTCCATTCAGCCTTCGTCCCATTGTCGTCGTCCTAGAACCCTCGCCACCCTCGTCCCAAACATGGAACAAAACCCCGTTACTCCCATTATCCATATGGCTCATTAGAGTTCAATCTATATGTACAAGGTGATGATACAAGGGCACAGCAATCTTCCTCGTCCGACCCCGTACTGATACCCAATATTCCATATTCACACACCAATCTCGAGGGCTCACATGTTTCCATCCACAAAACCCGCCCATCACTTCTTTTCCGACTCGTTGCTTGCCGTGGCATCCTCTTCCCCCTTGGCCGTCTTCTTCCCATAGTTCCCATTCCATACATCCGCAATCTGTTCCAGGATAATCCCACTCAGCCCCTTGCCCTCCTCGATGCTCTTCCGATGCTCCTCCGCACGCTTCTCCTGCCAGTCCTCCGACTCGCCTCCCATCCAGATATCCTTCACCATGCCAGCAGTCTTGTTCTTCTCTCGGAGTTGTCGTTGTTTCTCTGCGGCTTCCTTCTCTTTCTGCTCTCTCAGGAGCTGTTGTGTTTTCCTCGCGCCCTCGGGCAGGCTATTGTCAAAGACGTTGCCGACCCGGTTGCCGAATCGTCCGTATATTGACTGGCCGGTGTATTCGTAGGCGAGCTGGTTGGTGGCCAGGGAAAACGTTCCGGCCAGCACGAAGAACCGTATGTCCATCTTCCTTGGCGGTAAGAGCATAGCCAACGGCGTGATGATTGCTCCCGCAAGAGCGATATTGTGGATGATGGAACTTCGGGGCGGCAGAGCCGGCTCCGTCGGCCGCTCTTGCGACATGACTGCGGTGCTGCGATCGTGCCGATCGGAATCAGTATCGCGGTGTTTGTTGCAGCAGATATTCAGTGCCACTTCAAACGCCGACTTGAATCACTGCGCTGGACAGAGGTCGTCACGTCGTCAGGTGCTAACGCTCAAGGTTGTTGTGAAGCAACCAAGGCGCTCATTGATTGGAAACATTTTCTTGTGGGGCTCGAGGCCTTGATATTCGTAGTGGCACTTGGCTCCGCGGTTTGGCTTTTTTATTTTTTTTTTAGCCAACAGCCTTCGCCAACTTGCAGATGACATGTCAGAACATTTCCAGAACAAGGGGAAAATAGGGGACATGATTGGTGCTTCGTTCAACATCTGCCACATGGCGGTGACGAACCAACAAGTGGTTCACGGAGAATACTGCACCCCGATCTGAGATGGGATGCATAGCTGCTGTGTACCGGCCTTTTTTGCAACCCGCGTGCTGGGCACGGAGTGACTACTCCGTACTACGGATACAACGCATTGTATTATCCCTTTGACTGCGTTAAGGTGCGTTGGATGTAGCGGTCCCACTTTTTATGCGACACCTAAAAGGTACTCTGTACGGAGTACTCCGTACCTTTTGGTAATAAGGTCAGCCTTAAAAGGCCTCGTTGCGTTATGTGCGAGTGCGATAAGTGTGATGTTACTCTTGGCAACTTAAGAAATCATTAGGACTTTTATTATTACTCTGTTATTTCTTAGTAAAAAGATGCACCTTTTATTCTTAGGCTTCTTACTGGCTAGGACTCCACTTTAATACATCCAACACACCTTAACGAAGTCAAAGGGATAATATTGTATATCGTAGTTATTGTATACGGGCACACAGCGCACTAATCACCGGCATCACTGGGCCTCTGGGTTTCTGTATGTCATCTTTTCTCCCAGCTCACTTCCTGGGCTTCCGAGGAGCTGCAGGTCCGACCGCAAACTTTAAGGTAAATGGGTGGCGCCAAGCACGACCAATGGGTCCAACTTGTCGCTCAAAATGCTCTCTCTTGGACCATCCGCTGTTGGTCCCGTTGAATGACACCCTAGGAGACATAACGATCAAGCTCCAGATGCTACTGCTCTCCACAAAAATCGGCGACAGCACGATTACGGCCGCCGATGTCAGGCTTGTCGACATGGGCGTCGTTCTCGATGCGAAGCAAGCCAAGCCTCAAAGCTTCGCTTCACTGGAAGAGCCACCCGAGCTTTATTCGACCACTGGACCCTCAAATTCATGGTTCGGTTAGTACTAATCTAACCACTTATGCATGACGGTCACGGTAGTTTGATGATACTAGTGGTATCTGGCGATCCGCTTGGCCTTTCGGGGTAAAGTCTAGCGGTCCGAGGCCGATGAGCAGTTGATGGGACCAGCCGTACCAGACTGGTGCAAGACGATGCACATATGCCTCCCATAAGCAAGTATGCTTCGTACGCTAGTGGAAACGTCTATTCCACTGTCCAGTTGATACAACACGAAATACAGGTGTCCTGGCAGCGCAAGGAGAATCGGGCCAGCTCTAAAAGAAGATCAGGATGGCTGCAAGAGACCTCAAGTCCAAAGCCAGTGGTTGAGAAGCGGTTTGATGTCCGGAAGTACAGAAGTAGTGGCCAACTATTCGACACATCCTGCAGCATCGCATTGTTCCACTCATGAGGCTGCAGTTGATATGTACGATGGAGTGCAATATGCGAGGCCCAGTAATTCGGGCGCATTGGGTGCCTGCATATGGCCCCCTCTCCCGACTAAACGGAATCCTAGTCTTCTCTCCTTCTCTCTCTCTTTCTCTCCATGTGTGTGAGTGGTGAACTGGCAAACTGGGTCCAACAGTCCGGAATATGCCTGCAGCGTGGGACGCAAACTTTACAGTCCCTGTCTGAAGGCCCCTGTCAGAAATGGGTCATTTTCGCTCGGGTCTCAGGGACGATTGCATCGGGACAAGCCCTGACAACCTGACTCGAGTACATAATACTCCGTATTGTGCAGTTAGTCCCTCCATCATCTTGTTGAGTACTGATCAGGGACCACGAGTGTTGAGCAGGCTCGTCGGCATTTGCCAGGTCGGTTTTTGGCCTTGCTGGCTTCAGCACTGAGCCGAATGACTGAAGATGCATACTCTCTCCTGCATCTGGTTGAGACACTCGCAGGCATCAACATTGGTGCACTTTTGTGATGCGCGGCCCTCCGTCACATTCTCGTCTGTTTTGTTCGGTGGCCCGGGCGGGAAGGGCCTCGTCTAGCCGCACAAGGGAAATAGACAGAGCACTCCGTAGAAAGGGAGCATGACCCAATGTATGCCGTGAGGGTGATCGAGTATTCGTCAAGATCCGATGACCCAGGACGGGGAAATCTCCTTGCTCACATGTATGGAGTAGGCCAGGGTTGAGTTATCTGCAAAGTTATTGTGGTGTGGCCAAGACCATCTTGGTTCGACTGGCGCAGATCAAACCCTCGCAGCTTTGGCAGGGTGGCCGGATAGAGTGATGCTGACCAGGTTGTCCAGACGTTGGGTGTTGAGTGGCAGACAATAGGCGAGCGAAGACGTGAGTGCCGAGGATCCCGCCGGGCAGCCTCGCAGCCGCAGCTCCCCAGTGCTGGCTCCTAGCGGGGTCAGGCCATTCAAGCTCTACAACCCTGAGCTAGCTACCTTTTGGTACTTGACCTGTATGTACATGTGCACCTTGCATTGGGGGAGCAGTGGAGGGCACATCGATGCACCATCATGCAGAGTCCTGTTCCGTAATACAGAGCACCCTGTCGCAAATTGACTGTAGCAAAGCAACGTCGCTGGTATTGCAGAGTAGATTGCCAGGCAGCCAACATTTCAACATTGTGGGAGACGTCTGGTGAGTGACGTCTAGTGAGCGAGTGATGAATTGGCAGTCTGGTAGTCTCCCCAGCTCCTTCCTTCCACGCGCTTGCACACTCAATAGGCAGCACTGAAGTTCTTCGGCTCCGTGGCTCCTACTGCGCCAGACCCGACTTATATCGTCCGGTCTGTGGTCGTACCTGCCGCTAGTGCTACTACTACTCCATTGACGACTGCAGCGCCTAAAACGGGCCCCAGTTCAAATGGCGCCTTCCTCGTCCAACTGGCTCGAGCGCCCCACCTGGCCCAAGTGTCAGTTCTGGCGCGCATGGCTGGGCTGGGCTTCGGTCTTTTACGCTCAGGACGGAGTGCCGAGCACATACATGCAATCTATATTATTGCTCCTTTACTAAATACTCCATGTCTGCAGACATTTGGATCTTCGCATCTCCAATCCTCAAATCCCCAGTCCCCCTTATGCACGCCGCCGACGCACGTCGACCTTTGCCGTCTTCGCCATCAATCTCGCTACTCCACCGCTGCCGTAGCATTCCGCTGTTGCATCTTCTATGCCGAGTGCTGTCGTTTGAGCTAACAGGGCCTACTACATACCTACGTAAATGTACTCCGTACAATTCGGCAGTTCTCAAGCTTGGACGTCCATCCCCGCAGATACTCGAAGAAGGCCAAGATTCTTGCAACGCTGACGATTCTTCCTGCTTTTGGCATCTATTATTTGTTTTATTTTTTAACTTTTTTTTTTCTTTTTCTTTGCCAGTTTTTCTTTTGAAGCTTCCGCTCGGGGTCTGTGGCCTATGATATTGTCTATTTCCGCCATAACCCTACCAGGCGCATGACACCACCGCGTCCTTGTCGTCGAACAAGGCCGTGCTCGAGCTGAGGCCTGCTCCTCTCTTGTGCTGACGCCATTGGTACATTGCCTCGCCCTGTTCTAGGACTTATTCCTCTTGCGTTTCCCACTGCCGCGATATAACAAGTCTTCTGTTCTTGCGGTCTAGCTCTGGCGACATCATTGGCCTTCGTCCCAGTTTCCTGTCTACAGCCTGCCGTCGGCAGATTGATCTGCTAATCCAAAGCCGGGGGCCATACTCAACGCTGGCCTCTTTGTGTTGTGAGAGGCGGCCGCTTGGTCTCTGTGGCTGACGGTATAGTACATGGGCACCGCTCCTCGTACATCGTCACATATATTTTCTTGGCCCGCCCCAGTATACTTCACGTCATTTATCAACTCCCATTGCTTCCCCCCAACCTGACGTTGAGCAGGACCTCGGCCGCTCAGGAGCTTGAGCCTCAAGAGACGCAATCCAACAACACACTGACTCACCATGTCGTCCTCGCCAGAGTTGCAGCTCACGCCCACCAATTCACCTTCTATATCATGCATTTCCTCCGCCGTCTCTCCCAGCAGCTCCGTGTCCAAGGATGGGGCTCACATTGGCACTGATGGCCAGCCTGTGAAGCGTGGACGGCGAAGTAATCCGAAAGTCAAGACGGGCTGCTCCAACTGCAAGTAAGTGACAACCCTCGTCGCTCAGACTCCCCCACACAAGCCCTGCTTCATCACGCTAACTGTTGCCTACAGACAAAGACGCATCAAGTGCGATGAGCTACGACCAGCTTGTACTCAATGCGTGAGGAGCAATAAGATCTGTACGGGCTATCCCCCACCACCACGGAGTGCTAGGCCACTTGCCGATATTAGGATTGCACCGAAACCCATGTTGGCGATTCGGTCACAGGCGGCATCTGGAATTGCCTCTTCCAGCATTGTCAAACCAACAGTCCTACCGCCGCGCCGGGCCAATCGGCGCAAACGCCAATCAGTCGTCACACAGCATACCCTTTTGGCTGCCGCAACTCCACCTACGTTGTACCAGCCGTCGAATACCTTGGGGTTCCAGCAAGTCGAGGGCTTGTATTTCGAACTCTTCCGCGTCCAAACCTCCTCCGAACTATCGGGATACTTCAATTCCAATTTCTGGGCTCAGCAAGTTCTGCAGGAGTGCCACGCCGAGTCGGCCATCCGCCACTCAGTCGTTGCTCTCGGGGCTCTGTATAAAACTTTGGAGCAAACCTTCTACTTGGACACAATCAGTCCAGACAAGACAAAAATGCATATGGATTCTTTGGTGTCACATTGGCACGTTGCCATTAAGCAGTACTCTGATGCAATGAACTCAATGATGCTTCTCCATGGACAGAGCTTACGGTCGTTTAGAACCCGACTCATGGCTAGTATTCTTTTAGCATGCTTCGATTCTTTCATCGGGGACCACAAGCAGGCCATTGTTCAAATTCAGACAGGCCTTGGCCTTCTCGAACAACTCAAAACCCTTTATCCCAATCACCATACACCCGGTCCGGAAGGGTACATCGAAGATGATTTGCTCAATATTTTCACCCGGTTAGCGATACAAGCCAAATCATACGACATGGCATTTCACTTTCCCCAACCTTATGTCATACGTCTGACTCCACAACAACAATCCCGGGGGTCGTCTCCCGTCTCCTCAGATATGGGATCACCCGGATCGCCGCCTAGTATGATTGTTCCACCCCGGTTCGAGTCGTTGCTGGAGGCCCGCCTAGCTTCAGATAAGCTGTGTGAGAGGTTGCTCAAATTCATCGAACGGCTTCAAATCGCCAAAAACAACAAGAGCAACGTGCTACCAGAATCATGGAGGCAGTATGGCATAGACCTGAAGAGTGAGCTGGACTCTTGGGCGGTCGCGTTCGAGCACATATTTCAGTCTCGCTTTGATCCACGCGTCAGCCTCATTGAGAAGGCGGGGATATCCGCCCTGAAAATGTTTCAGATCAACAGCAATGTTCTATTCTTGATGATGTTTTGCGATACGGAAGTAAAATTTGACGCATTTCTGCCGCATTTTAAAGCCGTTGTCGATCTTGGCTGGGAGGTGGTCAGCGCAGAAGAGTGCAGGGCTGCCGCGGAGGGAAAAGTGAAAACCGAGGACGACCAGAGCCAGTACGCAAACACCAAAGGTGCACTTAGAGCCGGCAAGCTGAACACGCCTCACATCAAGCCCAGCTTTTCCGCAGATCTCGGCATCGTACCGCCCCTGTTTGTCGTGGCAACCAAGTGCCGCGAACCCAGGCTTCGACGCCAAGCTATTCAGTTGCTGCGCAGCAGCGCGAGGAGAGAGGGCATGTGGGACAGTGAGTTGGCAGCTAATATTGGCCGTTGGGTCATGCAGATTGAAGAGTCTTACGGCGATCTCTCGATGGGATGGGATGAATCCGTGCTGCCGTCGGAGCCGATTCCAGAAGAAAAGAGAGTCATGGTGAAGTCTGCTGATTTCGATCTTCGAGCTCGATTCGCCGAGCTTAGGGTGGGCACGCGAGCAGTGCATGAGGGATCTCATGACGACAGGGTACGAACTACCAGAATTATGTGGTAGCCTTTCCACCTCGGTTTGGTGGCTTTTGGCGGGGAAATAGTGCCTAGGATTCGAGGCGTTGTTTGGATGGCAAAGTGTACGTTGAGAATTCAAGATATCCCAGGGCTTTAACAGGTGGTTCTTTTCTTGAAAAGTCAAGTAGACCTTTTTCTACTGGCACTGTACTTGAGTAGACGGTGCTCCGACCCAGTCGCAGTGTTAAGATTCAAATTTGATGGTTATATACCACCAGCAGCTCCAGTATCTTCACATTTTTGTGCACTGGGTTCAAACTTATCCGTAATTAGTAAAACAAGAATCAGTATTTTCCGTAATATCAGAGCTGTCCCAAGAATTTCCAGCAAACCCCATGACACAAGTAGCCCCAGCACCAAGGATAAAAAAACGCATTAAATGGGCGGCAACTCGTCCCTGCAAATGGGACATTGCAGCCTAAACCGCAGCCAGCTCTCCAAACACGCCGTATGAAAGATGTGTCTGCACGGAGTCACCATGTACATTCTCCGCGCGAAGACGCCCGACACGCTGGACTCCTCCTCGCCGGCTTTGACGACAGGCACCTCGAGCACCTCTCTGCAGATGGCACAATCTATATGCCTGACGCCCGTCTTTTCAGCCCCTGCCAGGGCCCTATCCAGGCTGTTTCGTTCCTCGGGGACAACCAGGCCAATGGGCAGGCCGCCTCCCTCGAGATTGTCCTCTCGCAGAACCGGGTGGTAGTCCCACGCGTCGGGGGTCCAGGACAAAGGCACGCCGAATCGAGGACCGACGATTTGCTGCGCGGCCAGGACGACGACTTGGATCCAGACCCAGCCCGCGAGGAACACAAATGCGGGTAAATCGGTGCTTGCGTAGAGAAAATTGTCTTCCTTGACCCAGAAGTAGGCAATGGGGAGGAGACGCAGGACAGACTGGCCGAGGACAAAGGGCCATGAGAGCGCGCGGCGGCAGTTGCGCAGAGTGTTGCGGTAGATTTGGGGCGTCCACATGGACAGGTAGATGAATGCGCAGGTATTGAGGAATACGGACCGCGGGCGGGGGTACCACGTTGACGAGGAGATGGCGAGGAAGGAGATGCAGAGAGAGAACAAGATGAATCTGCCGATGATGGCTTGGAAGGTTGGTGTTTCCGGGGTGGAAGGGCTGCTGCGGTTGGTAGTCGGAATGGCAGAGGCGGCCGAGGCAATTTCAGCGGATATATCTTGGTCCGACGGGATGATGATGGGTGTTTCGACGCGGTGAGAGGCCGTCACTGGTCCCGGGAGTAGACCTGGTGTGGGAGTTGCGGCGATGGAGTTGGCGGAACTGTCTTGTGCGGTTGTGGTGGACGAGGGGGACTGGTCGCGACGGCCTCTGCTCTCGGGGAGTTGAACCTCGTATATCTTTGCCAGGAAGCTGCCTCCAATGGTCATGCTCAGGAACGAGGCAAACATTAGTGCCAGCGTGGGCAAGAAGGTGGCCGCTGCAGAGGACACCCATGTTGCTGCGGCGGTGAAGGTCATTCCGTCGACAATCAACATGGCGCTGATGGTGCCGAAGCTAATTCTGCCCATGGTGGATGGCGTGAAGGACTCCTTCATTTGGTCTCGGAGGAGGCGAACCTGGCCGAACACGACCAATGCGTAGAGCAACAGCCATGTCTTGATTAGATGCGTCTGCACTTCCTTCTTCATGCCGACGAGATGATCGGCTTCGCTGGGAGGGTAATCCGGCGGTCCTTTGGTCTCGAGAAAGAACGAACAGTCCGGCGAGTATATGACGGCGGACATTTTTAGCTTGGGTATCCGTGGGATGGGTGCGCCGACGGGATACTGGAGCTCCGACTCTATGGCGTTGATGGTGTCTTCCACGGCTCCTGGAACCGCGTCTTGGCCTTCGGTCGGTTTGGGAGGGATGGGCGGATGGATCTGGGCGTACATGATGTATTCGCAGTGCGGTGAGGGATAAGCCGTGTACATGGGGTTTTCAATGTCCGAGTTCCACGGCATCCGTTGATCGACGTAGACGTGCTTCTCTTTGCGGCGGATGACGCGCGCCAGCGTCTGGTTCAGCAACATCTGGCTCGACTGGAAGAAATCCGGACCAGGCGACAAGTGCGGCAGAGCGAAGATGCCTTCGAACTTCTCGCTCGTCGTTGTCATGAGGATGACGCCCTGCCGCGGCCAATGGACGCCCCAGAGCTTCATCTCCCAGTTCAAGCCCGAGCCAATGGTATCCTCGATGGTAGCTGTGCCTCTCAAGCTGCGGATGATGCCTCCTGACAACGGCGCCATGTCCATGGACAACTGCTCGTAATGAGTGAGCGTCTTATTCCCACTCAGACGCAGCATTATCCTGCCTGCATTGCCCGTCACGTTCCGCGCCCACTCGACCTTGTGCGCCATCCATTCGACGTCGGGCACGGTCCTGGACAAGTTGTAGCTGTCGAAGCCGCGGAAAACAGAGCCCGGCTTGCGAACCCAGTCCCCATGAACAGTTCCCGAGGCATTTGTCCACATTGCCTCTCCCTGCGCCACATCCCAAAGCTGATGGCCGTCAATGGGCGGGACAGCATGTCGGCTCAGCTTTAGACCCTTTTGTCTGAATGTTTCTAAATCGTCCCATGCGAACCCGTCTGTTTCCCTGAAGCCCGTAAGGTTCAAATGCTTTGCTTCGACGACATATCCATCGTCGGTGGTCTTGTTCTGGGGCGCAAAGTCCCCCCACCTTGTCGTGTTAAGCACGTTGAGGGCATCTCGGTACCGCGCGAGTCGATCAACAGCCAAGTCGGACAGGGCAAGAGATTGGTTTCGGTAGTCGCCTTCTGGGAATAGCATCCACACGAGAAAGAGGATGAAGAGGACGGCACCTGCTGGGCTCTGCGCTGGAGTAGGCATGTTGGTGGCCGATGTGGTCTCGGACGCAGCGCGGGAAGAAGGGTCGTGTGCTACGTCGCCACCATGATATACTGCGCGGCGGGAGGCACTGCAAGCAGGATTGCGGTTCTGCAATGGCGGATTCAAGAGTGGATGAGGAAAAACTGAAACGTTTAAAGACTGAAAGGGTAGAAGATGTGCAACAGGCCGGACCGGTTAAAGTTTACGAGATGTGTTGGTGCTCAAGCCTCCTGGTCCAGGGACGTTATCGCTTACTCAAGTCGGCAAGTGCCGTAGCATGCGGACACCGTCAACTGGTGAAAGGAACAGCCGACAACCAACGTCGGCGGTGGATGATTCAAGTGCCCAACAATGCGTGAAGTGGAAGCTCTCGCGTTCGGTGATTGTCCGTGACAGAAGTGGCCCAGAATGCACTTGGGCACGCATACACTCGTGCGCTCGTATGTGGAAAGAGACATGGACTCCGTTCTTTCCATAACTGTACGGGAGTTGTACGGGGTGCCGATGGATGAATTGACTGGTCGCGTCCGCCAAACCACTTTGAGCCCACCACGAGCCTAACGAGTAGCTCCACCACTAGACATCTGCATACACGCTCGCTCAACCACCATCAACGGCTCTCCAGACGTTGTCTACCGCCCGTCTTCAAACGCTCAATGACGCACACGAGGTCGCCTTTACCATAATCACCAACCCCCGCCATGTCCTCAGCAGACCCCGGATCCAGCGTCGACAAAGCCTCCGTACGCGGCGCCCTGCTCCCCCTCATCCCTCTCATCCCTCCCAAACAATACCCGCCCTCCCCTTCAGTCACTTCCAAAATCTCCCCTTTCCTGGCTCTGACAAATCTCGACCAGTCGCCAGATAACTCCAACGCCGATGTCTCAGCCGCCGTAGAGGAGTTGTTGAACACGCTGTCCAACAAATTCGCTAGCGTGTCGTCCGAGATATTTGCCAAAAGTGAGTCTCACACCAAACCTCCCTTTTGTACTCCCTACACACAATCACCTTTTTTTCCCGACCCGAAAATCCCCGCAAGACAAGAGCAGTTGCTGATTTGAGACATTGGCGGTGAAAATTGATAGTGGACGAAATGTCGCGCAGATTAGATAATTTAGAGGCGGCGCTGCTAGAGACCAAGGCAAATGAGAGCTCGGGCTCGACAAAGTCTTGAGTGTCTACTTTATGCAAGGCTGATGAATAACATTGTACATTTTCCAAGTCCTTTTTTTTTTTTTTTTTTTTTTTTTTTTTTTTTTTTTTTTTTTTTTTTTTTTTTTTTTTTTTTTTTTTTTTTTTTAACTTTGTACGATAACCTTTTGACTATTCCATCTCTATGTACCAGTCAAGTCTGCTGGCGTGTACTACTTTACTTTCGTTGCACATATGACGTAAAATGTCCTCGAGCCTATGCTCCCAACATGTCCTCTATTTGGCCACAATTCATGGTCCAGTCGGTATATCCATCATTTACAGCTCATCCTTGAGCTCCTCAGCCTTGTCGGCGGCCTTCTCGGCGAAGCGGCGTAGAACATTGGTCTTGCTCTGAATCTCATCACGCTTAGACGGGGCCAGGCCACCCTTCTCCAAGATGCCCTCGAGTCTAGAGAGCTCCTTGGAGACATAATTGTCGCTCTTGCTCAGCTTGTCAAAGACACGGACGTAGTACTTGGCGTAGGCATACTTGGCATCGTCGTTGAACTTCTCCACGGCACTCTTAACCTCGCCGACAATATCCTCCAGCTTGGCGCCGCCGGTGAACTTGGCGACCAGCGCGTCAAGGGCGGCAATGGTTCCAGCAACACGGTCAAGACCCCCACCGACAACGCGGTGAGTTCCAGCCTTCTTGTTAATGAACTTGATGAAGTCGTCCTCAGAGCGAGCACCATCGTAGCTCTCGCCCTCCTCGCTTCCAGCAGGGAACCACTTGATGGTTGGGTAAGAGGAGACACCCTGTTTGGTGGCCACGGCCTTGCTGTTGGGAGCTTCGGCGTCAACCTTGGCAATGACGACATTGGCTTCATTGACAAAATCGGCAGCAAGGCTCTCCCACGTAGGTGCCAAGTTCTTGCAGTCTAAGCACATACTGTTAGCATTGAGCCGCATCATCCGATCACAATATGCATGCAGAGACAATCACTTACGTCCGCACCAAGGAGCAGTAAACGCAACCAGCACATTCTTCTCACTTCCAATGGTCTCCGCAAAGCTCTTATCAGTAAGCATCACAACCTCGCTAGGCATCTCCAGCTTCTTCTTAGCCTTGACTCCAGCCTTCTCCGTCAGGAACTGGGTCAGACTCTCTAGGTCTCGACCAGACTTGTACTCCTCGGGCTTCTCTGACTTTCCGTCAAAGTACTTGAGCGTAGGGAATCCCTGGATTCCAAAACGCTTGCCCAAGCCCCGCTCGGCATCGGCATCGACCTTGGCAATCTGTACCTTGTCCTTGGCGTGTTCAAAGGCGAGAGCGAGCTCTTCGTACACGGGAGCCAGGTTTTTGCAGTGGCCGCACCAGGGGGCAAAGAATTCAACAAGTGTAGGCTTGCCCGATTCAAGGACGACCTTGTCGAAGTTTGAGGGAGTAAGGTCCATGACGGCGGATCTGGCGGTCGCAACGGCAGCCGCGGCGGCGAGCACGAAGCTCTTGATGAGGACCATGTTGGGCGACTCTTAATCTATGATTGTAAGAATAAAAAATTAGCTTTTGGAGCGAATTTTGGACGATGAAGAATCGAATAGTTCTACTTTACAGCAATAAGTGATGGAACAAAGGTTTGCGTGGTTTAATGGCTGACAGTTGTTGTTGCTTAGAAACGAAATTGTGTCGAGATGGCCAGCTTGCAATGAGCTTCCCTTGCGGCGCTGAAACCCATGTTTAAGCACCTCCTTCTCCACGCAAGCTCCCCTGCCTCGCGGCAAGGTTGGGGTATGCAATCACGTGAAGATAAGACGAAGTTTACGACGCGCTTGTGGCACATTTCCTGGGGCAGGGCAGAACACTTATGACTGCCACCCGTTTGTAAAAAAACACGTTATGAACTGCAGTCTGTCAGAATATCCAGTCTGCACTAGAGATTGAAGGGCTTTGACTTAGGCTAACCTAAGCTACTGCATCCGCCCTGACTCAAAACAATTCACCCGCTTCATATGATGATTCCCAGTTCACGTCATCATGAATTCCAACACAGCACACTTATGTAACAAATATCGTGCGCTGTTGTTGAATTTATTGTGTTACTGAACCCGCCCTATATGCCTGTCTAAAGTACACGTATCAAGACAATGGGAAGAAGCAGAGTGGAGAGATCTCCAGGGCCATCCTGGGAATATACAAAGAGCTCTTTTCGCTCAGAAACATGAGAATTCGTACATCTTACAGTCAACTCGACCTCCTACCGTATCGCTTTTGAAATTTCCCACGGCACCTCCTCCCTTTAATTCTCATGTCAATAAAATCCACGTTCGCTTGTAATATTCCTTTTTTCTCTCCGTCGCTTCCCCTAGTCTGAGATGATGATGCTGCTGCTTTTACTTCATGATACGGGTACACAGACCAGTAGCAACAGTCTTACCGCCCTCACGAATGTTGAATCGCTGACCAACCTCGATGGCATTGGGGTTGGTCAGTGTCACAACCATCTCGACGTTGTCACCTGGCATGACCATCTTGCCCTGAGCATCTTCCGTTCCTTCAGGGAAAGTCAGGTCGACAGACTCGTCAGATGTTCGGAGGTAGAGCTGGGGACGGTAGTGCTCGTGGAAACCAGTGTGGCGGCCACCCTCTTCCTTGGTAAGAACATAGAGAGAGGCGAGGAACTGAGTGTGAGACTTGACCGTGCCAGGCTTGCAGACAACCATACCGCGACGGACATCCTCGCGGCGGACACCACGGATGAGGAGACCAGAGTTGTCACCAGCTTGCGACTGGTCGCAAGACTTCTTGAATGTTTCAATATCTGTAACCTTGGTCTTGATGATCTCCTTGCCCTTGCCGACGAGCTCGATTTCCTCATCACGCTTCAGGACACCACGCTCAACACGTCCAGAGACAACAGTACCACGGCCAGAAATAGAGAAGACATCCTCGACGGACATGAGGAAAGGCTTGTCCAGGCTACGCTCAGGGGTAGGGATCCACTCGTCAACAGCGGCCATGAGCTCGTCAATCTTGTTGTTGCCAATCTCAGGTTTCTGATTGTTCAAAGCGCAAAGAGCAGAGCCCATGATGACAGGGGTCTCATCACCCTCGAAGCCGTAAGTGCTGAGAAGCTCACGCATTTCCATCTCGACAAGTTCCAACATCTCGGGGTCATCAATGGTATCGACCTTGTTGACGAAGACGACAATCTTCTGGACGCCAACCTGTCGGGCAAGGAGCAAGTGTTCACGAGTCTGGGGCATCTGTCCGTCAGAGGCGGCGACAACGATAATAGCGCCATCCATGTTGGCAGCGCCAGTAATCATGTTCTTGATATAATCGGCGTGGCCAGGGCAGTCGACGTGGGAATAGTGACGTTTCTCGGTAGCGTACTCGATGTGCGCCGTCGAAATGGTAATACCACGCTTGCGCTCCTCAGGAGCCTTGTCAATGGCACCATACTCGAGAAAGTTGGCAAGGCCCTTCTCGGCCTGTCGCTTGGTGATGGCAGCAGAAAGGGTGGTCTAAAATAGCCGTTGGTTAGTTGTGCAATATTTCGCATGACTGGAACGTTCTCCTCTTACCTTGCCGTGATCGACGTGACCAATGGTGCCTGTGAATCAACATTAGACTCGGCTCATTTCCAAGAGAACATCTCACAGGCATACCAATGTTGACATGGGGCTTGCTTCGCTCAAAAACGGCGTATGATCGGTAGATGTTGAGAATGCCCGAGGCGGTTTGGGGCTTGATGGCCGTCTGAAGGGGGTTAACACGGCCACTACGCAAGCCGTGCCGCGCAGTCCGCAGGAACGGCGCAACAGATCTAAAAGCGACAGACATTGTGAAATAAACCGATAATTGAAACCAGAATACGCCGATTGAATAAGAGAATGAACGGAGGATTGGTGCAAAAGGAGGTGATTATGCTGGAGGGTACAATTGTACTGGATCTTTATGGAGACCCGCTTCGAAATTTTTGTGAGCTCCAATGGACTTGAGCTTGGAAAGGCCGGCGACAGGGGCCAGTCGTGCCTGCCGCTGCGCATGGCAGCCATCGCGTCACGTGAGGGTCCTGTTTTCTGGAGGAGCATTACTCTCAGTCGTCCGATTTCAAATCACTTTGAGACACGGCTTGATGACACTCGTGCCTATAACAAATCTACTGTAGAAGTTCTGATCACATTTCTATTCTATCCATCAAGAAGGCCTCGTAAAGTTCTCAGCTTCCGCCGCCTTCCAATATCGATACATGATCTTTCGCTTGTTATTATTCTAAATTCCAGATGCTTGTTTGTCGCGCCATGCTCGCCGGCTAACCTTGATCTGTAGCCACCAAGCAGTAGATGGATGAATACTCTTCATCATTCAAAATCTAACCCACAGTTTGAAACCCGTTTGAGATATTCGTGCTGCAACAATGCCAGTTGTTCCAACAATCATAAACGCACCAGCAAACGCTTTCAACCCAATCTCGCCGCCAGGGCCCTGAAGAATGGCACCGGCAATTGGAGCTGTGACCAAGCCACCAACAGCGCCAAATAATTGGCCAATGCCGTTCCGATAACCAACTTCTTCAATCGGCGAAATTCTTGCCACCAAGGCCCCCAACAGCGCAATATAGGCGCCAGAGAAGAGGCCAAACAACAGAGAGAAGGCAACCGTTGCGGCGTCATTTCCTCCACCCGGGATCCACAAAACCATTATGAAGATTCCGGCGCCATAGCAGGCTAGCGAGAAGACGTTGAAGAGTCCAAATCTATCTGCAAGGAGACCTGAGCCCGCACGGCCAATCAAACTAGTCAACCAAGTTAGAAACAAATCAGAGTCTCTGGTAGATGTAGGTGATTGTATCACAAACTCACCTTGCAGCGTTGTAAAACGCAATCAGGTTTTGAGCGAGGGAATCTCGCATTCCTTCCGCTTTGGCTACAGTAGGGATAAAGTTGATTGGTGTATACAGACCAAACGGGACCAAGGAAAGACCAATAAGCAACAGCAAAAAGGTTTTTTCATGAAATGGCCGTGCCAGAAGTTCTTTCGAAAGCGCCTGGCGGCCATTCACGTGTCGAGCCTTGATAGTTAAGTTGGCCACAATGAGAAGAGCCAAGATGATAAAGGCAGCACTACGCATGGCCCACCCATATCCAACAGTCTTGATGAGGTTACTGAGCATTATTGGGAACACGACACCTCCAAGACTGGACCCGGTGGCGAATATTCCAAACGCTGTGCCACGTCGCTTCTTAAACCAGCCGCTTACGGAGCCAATGGCGGCCAAGAAGCTGGCAGAAACACCAATGGCGCTGCAGAGTCCCTGGGAAAGCATGAACTGATAGTATTTGGACGATAGCGACGCCATCATAAGACCGAAGACGTGCAAAAAAGATCCAACGAGAAGCAAGGATCGTGGACCATAGTTGTCAAAGATTCTTCCTGTGAATGGCGACAAGAACGACATGAGAAAGATTTGCATGGACGGGATCCAAGCAATTTGACTTGCAGTATACTCCTTGAGAGGTCCAGTTTGGTAATACTCTTGGAAGGTACCAACACCTAAGAAGGGGAGTTAGCAATCTGCAGCTTGCAGTTTTTGGAATCATATCATTTAGAACATGGCAAAGCATCCAAGGGTATAGTGTCACTCACTGTTGATCCAACCATAGCTGCAAAACGAAACGCACCAGGCGCCTAGCACCACCAGCCAAGCCTCTAGGCCGCCATCGGGAAAGTCATCGTCATCGTCGGTCGAATCGCTGAGCTCTTGGTTCGCGGTCTCAACATCACGACGAGAGGCTTGACGAGAGACTTGACGCGAGACCTGTGCACCTGTTTCAGCAATCCATTCACCTTGTACCATGGCCGCATCTGACTCAGCCAGTTTTTGCGTACAGCGACTTGGCGTCGGCGCAAGGGCGTCTAGACCGGAATCTGAACCATCCAGAGTCTTTTCGAACTTTTCAGCCATCTTGTTCCAAGACGACCTACTCCCTGATGTCCGTTATGGTGCCAACGGGAAAGAAAAGACGGGGAGGAAGCCGGTTTTCGCCCGAAAGAGCGGAGAGGGGAGCGGTAACGACTTTTAACCAAGCGTTGAGCCGCGGAAACTTTTGCCGGCCGGCGGCTAGCATACCCAGGTTGTAATGGAGGTCCTGGACAAAATGTTAGTGGGTGTAGCACCTCGGCTCAATGGTTCAGCAAGGCAGGTGTAACTAATAGTAGCTACATATATTAGTTATAAAAACAAGGTACGGCTGTGTGGGGGTCCATTCTGTGCATTGAGATTCTGGTTCGTTGGGAAATCAAGGTCCTTCCGCAACATGGTCACCTCCGCCGCTAAACCTTCGCCGTTGAGTCACAGGCGCTTAGTACAAGGTCGAAAACCCCCACCTGTGGGAACGGAAGGAAAAAAAGGAAGAGTCTAGTCCTTAATACCGTCGCATTGCGCTGGCTCAGACGAGCAACAGAGGCTTTCTTTTAAGCGTTGGGACAATGAGTTTGTACGGAGCAGCATAATTCCCGGCATGTTCTCAAATTCCCAGTGCGACACCGTTGGCAGGCATTGATTGAGGGAACAATATCCCTCTGGGGTATAAAGGTGCATTGCTGATGGAAATTCAAGCTTGAGACGTTGAGCTTCGGGCCATTTACGTACAAGAAGACAAAGCCGCGTCGCGCTACCGAACTCCTTCAGGTTTGAGAGTTGATTACCACATCGAGGCTGCCTTCCAGCTGCCCCCCGGGGAGGCTGATGTCTCTGTGCTCAATCGGCCGGGAACACGGCCGCCCATGTGTGGTGCCCCACCGGCATCATCGGAGGAAGCCACCAATAGGCTTGCTGCACTAGCAAGACCTGGACACTCCGGACAAGAAAGTCTCTACGAGGAAAAAAAAATCCCGTTGGCAAGAAAATATCGCAAGCCTCATGTTTCCATGCTTAATTTCCGTCCTTTTCCCTTTCTCAATAGTGTTTAAGCCGGGCCAAACTTTGCATCATCCGAGCATATCCATTGTCCGTTGTCCTTGACTACCTTGGAAGTTACCAACATTGAAGGATCCACCTGCCACAAACAATTTTCTGTCGACTACATCTCACCTCCAGTCACAGGCCATCCCAAGCTGCACCGCTACTCTTGGCGCAGCGAACAGCTCACCTCGCGGCAAACTCAGCCATCATATTCCCATTTGGAGGCGTCAACCCTCTTCATCAGATCATTTCAGGCGCAACGCCATCATGGATCAACAAGAAAGGCCTGTTGATGCCGAGCAGCCGCCGGCGCTGAACCTCCTCGGCCAGATCATTGCGCGTCTCTCCGAGTACGGGCAGAATGCCACCAGCAACATCTCAGAAGGCCTCAACAGAATGACCTTGCAGTCTTGGATCCGCATCATCGTCGTTGCAGGCGGATACATGCTCCTCCGGCCATACTTCCTCAAGGCCGTCACCAAGGGCGCAGTAGAGAAGATGGAGAGGGATGACAGAAAAGCTCGTGGCGAGGACGACAAGCTGCCTCTCCCGGAACTCACGCCCAACGAATACCGTGGCATAAAAGAGAAGCTGTACGCAGATGACGACAATGCCGGGGGCGATGGTACCAGCTCAGATTGGGGTCAGAAGGCGCGCGTGCGGCAACGAAAGATGCTGAGGGAGCTGTTGGAGGAGGACGAGAGGCGAAGAGCTGCGCTGGACGAGGATGCTGATATTCAAGAGTTCCTGGAGGATTGAGAGGGGGGAGGGAAGGCTTGGCGTCCGGGCGAATAGAGGGTTATCCACGTGTAATATTATCAAGTCTGTACAATGAATTCATGGCCTTTGCATAAGATGAGGGGTGGTGCGAGGCGCGCGCGCATCTCGGCTGCTTGTTTTCTGGGCGCAGTTCATCTTGGCCAAGATTTTTATGTTGATCAGTGTGGAATCGTAGTCGGTTTACGGAGGCTGACTTTGCTCGCAGGAACACCGGTTTTTGTCATGCAGATGAAGCTGGAGTATGAACTGAGGGTATTTTGTGAACTTGGCGGGTGAACGCAGCCACTTTTCCCTTGAGCCATGTACTCTCCTGGAAGCAATTGAGCGTCAACTGTTGCTGAACAAATCTAGGTTTATAGCCACCCTGCTTGTGACATGAATTAACTACAGCCTCCACCGGTCAGCGCAGCGTAAAACGCATTTGTTGGTGAGAATTCGGTCCCGTCTCTAGGGTAGTGAGATGTGGCGTTGACTGGGATGTTTGGGCGTGTCAGCGACAACCAGGGCAAGGGGTAAGGCAGCCCAGAGGTTTAAGTGGGACAGTGGGCGGGCCGCCCGCTGAGGGGTCACACTGGTGCTTGCGTTCAACATCGGAGTCTGGTGCGCCACGCACCAGGCGCAGGCTGTTGCTCGGAGCACTGGGTAATACATCCCTTTGAGTGTGCGCAGGTGCCTGTTATGTATATACTCCACTTTTCTCTAGTACTTGCTAAGTACATCGTTCATAATAGGGTAACCACTTATATGCTTGTAACTTCTAGTATATAAGGCACTTTATTTACCATATATATTCTTAGATGACTTAAGTATCTTTTAATCTCATGTCTTTAATTGGTTAACATCCTTGGTCGTTACCAAAATGGCACCTGCGCACACTCAAAGGGATACAGACTTCAACGCTTGACCCCGTCGGCTCCGTATCGTATTCAGTGTCCCGAACGCTCGTGTGTCGAGTGCTGGTCTGCAGCGAGTGGCCTGTTCAAATGTTGTGCGCCCCCAGATGGTCCCGGGCGCTGCGGGCGCTGCGAGTGCTTCAAATGGTCCGCCTTGGAATCTTCTTTGTCCAGCCCCTCCACGCCCGCTCCACCAACTATGTCATCGCTGCTCCTCCGTACATGGGGTTGCAGTGTGGTGGTCTGGGACCTCTTCCCCAACCCTGAGCCAGTCTCGCCAGTCATAAATCAGTTCTGCTTCCCATTTGGTACTCCCGCGACGACCTCAGTAGACCAACTTCTTTGTTGTATTCACCGCTGGCTCCTGTCTTCGTCCGAGTTCCTTGCCCCATTTTGCATTTCTTCACTCGCTCCTTCCATCTACTGGTCGCTCGTCCGCCCATTGCTGCCTTCCCTACTGGTCAAGCGGTGCAGCCTCCTTCACCGTCACTCACTGCTCGGTCGCTGGTTCGTCACTGGTCAACCTCCAAGTTCGTCCATTGGTCGCGTCTTCGGCTCTCCAACCGCGTTTGGCGACAAGACTGCAGGCATTGCTCCCCGTCGGCAGAGAACTAGCTACACTGGACCATTGTCCTTGAATATTGACTTAAAGACAGCTGCAATGCCTGGTGGAACCCGTGAGTAGAAATTCAGCATGGGAGACTCGCTCAATATCCAAAACATGCTCGAGACGGGCTACTTTACCACGGCCAGAACTCGCAGCACTGGCCCGTCAGTGCAACCCTCCTCATGGTGCAGTCATGTGTTTCATACGGCTTACGTGCTAACTGATCAATATAGCCCGGAAAACTCCTCTCGATCCCCCGGGCCCTCGCGTTATGCTCCCCCAGAAACCTTCCCTCCACCAGTGCCTGTACACGGTCAAGTCCCTAGAACTGTATACCTTGCACCTGCGCCGGAGCCGAAAAGATGGCGTACGCCGCCGCCTACCGTTGAAGACGAGACCGAGTCTCTTGCCAGGGAGTATGGCTCGCCTGCAGCGTCTGTGGTTGCTGAGGAGGAGCCACAGTGTAGAGGCCAAGTTGACCAGAAGTATGTATTGGAGGATGTTCATGAGCACAACCCCGAGAGACGTTTCGTAGTCGTTCCGGAATCTTTAAAGAGGCCAAACCCCTCTGCAAATGACAGGCCCAAGAAGGAAAACCGGGAGGAGACACAGGATCTAGGAGAACGCACGTCCTCTCAGCGATCTCCAAGACTAGAAGACAACTACGGCAAACAAAAAGATGCTGCCAGCAAATCACGGTATGGGCCAAACCGTCGGAAAAGCCAGCAAGACCTGCCGGCTATTGATACCGCACTGGATGGCCGCCACAGACCCGAATATCATCGAACCCGATCAGCGGCTACCGGCCATAAACCAGATTACTTCGATCCTCGCCAGTCTCGTCCCTACGGCGATTACTTACTATCTCCAGATGTCATTCAAAGTGGAACCAAAGGACGCGAGAAGAGGTATCATGGCATGAGTCAATCCTCCGGGGGGTACCATGAACGGTCACCATCCAGTTCGAGTCACAAGTTTGAGACAAGCCGCGGTTCAGACCGCGATTACTATGGCAAGGATCGTGCATCATCATCATCCGCAAGCCGATCCAATACGGATCTGAGCAGCCGGTCGAGGAAGAGAATGACGAATGATGTTGACCCCCGGTACCGTGACGAGTATTCGTACTCCAGAAGTGACAGACGAGATGCTTCCTCCTATGGATGCTCGGACAACCCCGGCCGCAAGCTTTCTCCTCGTTCCTCTAGAGAACCGAGTCGTTCTGGGGATGAATATTCTCGAAGTCCTCGCAGCTCCGGCTATTTGTCATCGAAACCAGTGGTAGTGCAAGAGGAAATGCCACTGCTCCACCAGGATCGGAAGGATGATGGTCCCGTACATGTGCGGTCTTCCTCTCGAACACCTACTATTCCGCCCATGGCTCAGGCCGCGACCGCAGCCACTGCCGCAGGTGTGCATATGATGGATGATGCCTCAAAAAATGCGTCAAGAGAACCAATCATAATGACGCCTCGGACCACCACCGACACACCGAGAGCCTCTAACTTTCAACTCCCATATCCCGAGGACGATCTTCCACCTGATGTGGGCCTCGGCATACAAGACGGTAACTTGGACGCAAGACACCCAAAGTTCGATGACATGGGGTCTGTGTCCATGCCGGAGCCACCGTCAACGGTTGCAACAACTACCCCAGGACGCTCCTTTGACTCGAATTACGATACTCCAACAACGCCGTCAACGGCCGCAGCAACGCCGCTGACCTGGCAACCGCCCATTTTTAATCCTAACAGGGAGGCAATTAAAGCTGAAAAACCAGTCGGCGCCTACAGACGGTATTCCGAAAGCCACGGGAACGACACAAGCGATAGCCTGCCCGAATGCCCACGCCAGAAACCTGTTGTAGGCATGGTAGATTGGCTCACCCTTCCCCATACCAATTTCAACATATGCCCTACATGCTACGACTCGGTGTTTTCTACAACAGAATATCGAACATTTTTCAAGCCAATACTTCGACCATCTGATGAACCAATTGCGTGCGATTTTGGGGTCTCACCTTGGTATAGAATAGCGTGGTTGTTGACTGTGAAGGACGGTATTCCTGATATGCGGCTATTACAGCAGCTTGCTACCATTAATTCCGCTCCCAACCGAGAGCCATGCCCTGGTACCAAAAAAGCAACTCGGACTTGGCTCACTGTCAAGGATCCTCATACACGACAACCAGTTACTGACTTCTCTGTCTGTTATCAATGTGCGCGATCAGTTGAGTTGTTACTGCCAAATCTCACTGGCGTCTTTGTACCAATTGACGCAAGACCGAAGCAAGATGTATGCTCTCTGCACTTTACGCCGGAACGGAAACAATTTGTTTTGTTTTTTGATGTCTTGGAAACCACATCTGACAAGGCCCTCGAGGCCAAACAGCTACCGAATGTGGATGATTTGGCGCGAGATCTATGGTGCTTGACTGTGGGTTCCAAGTGCCGTGAGGACAGTCCAGTGATAGATGGATATTGGCATACCATGCAGTTTCTGCCCCAGTTTACCGTGTGCAGCAATTGCTTCCATGACGTCGTGCAACCGAAACTGGGAGACGGAAACGTCGTTGCACGAAACTTTTATATGAAGGCGCAAAGATTGCCTTCGGCTACATGCCAACTTTACTCGACTCGAATGAGGGACATTTTTAGACGATCTTGCCGCAGGAATGATCCCAATTACTTGCAGGAAAAGGTGGTTCAAAGACGACGCATAGAGAAGGATATTTACGAGAGGTTGGTTAAACTGGACCGAGCTAATGTGAAGGCTTCGTGGAAGGAAGAACAAGTGGAGAAGCTTGTTGAGGAATGGAAGCGATGGGAGTAGCAGGAGAACAGGGAGCACGTCGTTGGGTTTACATATGTGCGAATCATCTGATGAACTTGATGACGATATAGCATACATTACGATATTACGACGATATGATGGCATAATAATGACAGCTAGTTTTTGAGATATACGAGCCTTTTGACCCATGAATTAATTTACACCTGCCCTCAGTGTGAATTGATGTGATTCCTAGACATGGACATGTAACTATACTGAAGTGGGTTGAGTGAGTGAGGGAAGGAGAACTGTAGGAATTGTACAGTGTCCCAAGGATAATTCACTGTATTTAATGTACTGGGTGTGATTGGGGAATGGGGGATATGTGGCCAATGAGAAGCAACAGTTCGTTCCTCGCTTAAGATACGTACCTTGATTTTTAGGGCCCGCCCACCAAATTTTAGCTAGGGCAAAAAATTCGCTCTGGTGAAATTTATCGTGAGCCCGCTCGAAGTGCACCCTCCTCCATCCATCAAATTTCACGCCGCCCGACGACCAAGGTAAGATTTGTCTTCCCGACTGCGACCATAAGCCGATATTTGGTGTTCTAACTCTGTTTTACTATTCACAGGTCCAAGTCCCCCCAAACCGTCACAATGGCTTCGCGACCTACCGTCTCTATCATCGGCAAAGATGGTGCTCCCACGGGAGCCACCCATCCCGTCCCTGCCGTCTTCACCAGCCCTATCCGACCGGATATCGTGCAGCGAGTTCACACCGGCATGGCCAAAAACAAGCGCCAGCCGTATGCTGTGAGCGAGAAGGCTGGTCACCAGACTTCTGCCGAGTCCTGGGGAACTGGTACGTGCCTTGTGGAAACCTTTGAAATTGCAGCATGGGCGGCATTTTTCCTGTCTGTAAGTGGATGGCCTTCTACTCAGAAGAGACAGAATAATTCTTTTCTGGTTTCTGAGCTGGTCTGAAACGAACAGATGGGATTGAGGCCACCCCGTTTGAGCATTTGTTTTCTCGAATTTGTCTTTTACTTTGGGCGGAAATGAGGATTACTAACTTGCCATAGGACGTGCTGTTGCTCGTATCCCCCGTGTCTCTGGTGGTGGTACTCACCGTGCCGGTCAGGCTGCCTTTGGTAACATGTGCCGATCCGGCCGCATGTTTGCCCCTACCAAGATCTGGCGCAAGTGGCATGTCAAGATCAACCAGGGCCAGAAGTACGTTGTTCTCCCTCTGCACACGCAGTCATTGTATTTTTCTTCGCAAACTAACAAAACCACCCTCCTTCCCAGGCGCTACGCTACCTGCTCCGCCCTGGCCGCCTCCGCCGCCGCCCCTCTCCTGATGGCCCGTGGCCACGAAATCATGACTGTCGCCGAGGTGCCCCTCGTCGTTGACAGCGCCCTCTTCGACGCCGCGGCCGTCTCCCGCACCGCCTCGGCCCTGGCCCTCCTCAAGGCCGTCGGCGCCGGCCCCGACGTTGAAAAGGCCAAGAACTCCAAGAAGCTGCGCGCCGGCAAGGGCAAGCTTCGCGGCCGCCGCCACCGCCAGCGCCGCGGACCCCTCGTCGTCTACAACCCCGAGGTGGACGGCAAGGAGCTCGTCAAGGCCTTCCGCAACATCCCCGGCGTCGAGACCTCGCCCGTCTCGGCCCTCAACCTCCTCCAGCTCGCCCCCGGCGGCCACCTGGGCCGCTTCATCGTCTGGACCTCGTCCGCCTTCAAGGCCCTCGACGACATCTACGGCTCCACCACCGAGGCCTCGGCCCACAAGCGCGACTTCTTCCTGCCCTCCAACGTCGTCTCCCAGGCCGACCTCACCCGTCTCATCAACTCTTCTGAAATCCAGAGCTCCCTCAACGCTCCCAAGGGCGAGGCCGTCACCCGCCGCTCCGCCGTGCAGAAGAAGAACCCTCTGCGCAACAAGCAGGTTATGCTGCGTCTGAACCCCTACGCCTCCGTGTTTGCAAAGGAGTCTCAGAAGAAGCAGTAACTGGCTCCTTCTGAGTGGCGGGGTGAAAGAAAAAAGAAGCAGGGCTGTCCTAACTGGGTGTGCAGCGGGACAGCAGGGGCGGGAGAATGAAATTGGGGGTGGTCTTTTTACATGGCTTTTGGTATTTATGTCGAGGCGTAATGGCTTCCGGAACGTCAGCTCTTGAATGAAATGAGATGATTGACTTTATATGCCTTCTTGCCAATGAAGTGAATGTCTTTGAGTAAATCACGGGTGGCTTGCTTGCCATTGGGCTGTTGATATCTAGTCATAAAAGACACCTGTTGCATTATCCGTCCGTGTCCGAAGTTGAGTGATGCATGCCCACGCAGCAGGTAAAGTTTGTACACGCCACGATTGTTGCTGTGATGAGGTGTAATCTTCAACAAAACGTTTCAAGCCTACATCTTCGGCTTGGACCTCCACGACCGTCGCAGCATCCCTGACGACATCCCTGATTATATAGATGCCCTCATTCCCTGGCACATCATCGTCAATGCCGACCTTGTCGCCCCGCCAGGCCCTAAACACCAGCCGCGTTCCTAAGCACGTAAAAGTTGGCCATGGTCACGAGAAACATATTTCGCACACTCCTTATTCCTCTTCAGTATCCGTAGCAAAACAAAATCTCACACACGCCCCATGCCGTTCTTACCCATAATCCTTGCAGCTCCAAATACACACCCGGTGCCAACTACCAGATACGGGCTCCTGGGAAAGTCCGAGTCTCAAGTATTGGTCCGTCTGCGATGAGGGAGCTCAAACTCGGGGCTTGCCAAAAGGAGATGGGAGCTTGAAGGACACATGTAACGCAGATTAGTCACAATGTAGCCCAGTCTGATGTGCCAGTTCGAGAAGCTATCTCTTGCGCTCGCCCCCCCTAGCGATGCGAATATTCGTAGAAACTGGGATCTGACACTTCAGCTGGGTTCTGCGGAAAGCTCTGAGCGCACTCTTGGCAAACCTACCCTAGACGCTATGGGATTTCTACCCAGGTGCCAGAAGCCAATGGGTAGCTCAATTGCCTGGGGAAACATCAGTGGAAGCTAAGAGGGGAACCACCATTCTTATAGTGAAAGGCGGGATGTATACCACGGGCAAAGGGACATACGGCCTCTTCATCTGCCGCGCTGTGCCGGTAACCAGTGGGGGAATGATTGGACTCGTGCCGAAAGTATACTGGCGGTAACATCTTCTCCGTTGGGCGGTGCTGTGTAAGATATCAGCGTGGGCAGTCGCCGTCTGTGCCGAGGGCATCGCAAGAGAAGAGCGCCGGGTTCGGGACGAATTGTAGCGTGCTCGTTGGCATGAAGACCTTGGTTGATAGTTTTGGAAGCTGCCACAACTGTCCCGCCGAGTTCCTCCAATTTTCTTTTAAAGAGAAGTGTAGAATCATGGAATGGAAGGAAACTCGCCTCAGAGTGGTGGCTCATATCCAGTAGCGGAGCTGCCGTCGACGGATCTCAAAAACAAACAGATATAGTGGAGTTTATATTTTCAGATTTTGGCGTATAAACTGATATCAATATCTCCAGAGAATGGAGTTTTGCCTAACCGACGGGTGAATATTCGTCAAGCCAAGCTTAAAATTGCGGGCGCATGCAAGACGCAACAAAATAACGAGAAGAATGCCTCACGTCGTATCATATAAGCTGTACGGAGTACAGGCTATCTATCCAGGCGTGGTTATGATGTCTGCCATGAGCGGAGGAACCGACGAGTGATGCGGTAGAATTATTCGGTGGTTGTCCAACAGCGCGCTTTGCCATACTGTGCACCATTAGACAACGTGTGTAGAGAAACTGGTCTTGTTCTACTACGCTTGAATAGGAGGTGTGAATCCGGCGATTTGTTATAGCACGGGACATTGGGTCCGGACATGGACGAGCACCGTGCCTGCTGCGTCCAACGTTGCCGAGGACAATGAATGCGACTTGGCGTTATTAGCCTGAGCTTGGCCTCAAGAATCCCTGCAGTGCAGCAGAAGCACAAGGTCATAGCTTGTGTAATTTGAAGCATCTAGAGAGACCCTTATCGAATATAGATGACGTCTGTGTAGCCAATTCAAGAGTGCGTGGGGTTCGTTTTACTCAATGGAACACGATAAGGCGAAGGTGCGTTAGTGGATCCGAGAAATAGGGGCGATCAAGCAAGGAATTCAATGCCATGAAATGATTGTGTCTGATTGTTGCTATTGTTCTATTGAGCGACTATCGAGAGTGTTTGGTGGCGTACGAGGTGGATCCGGACTCGCGTTGCCAACATCATGCATCCTGCTTCGAGGCCCCGAGGTACTCGCACACATGTAAATAAGCAACTCTAGATGACTGAGCGTGCTGGCGAAGTCGACGGCTTTCAAAGGACCTTCTAATTCGCAAAGAAAAGAATTCTAATACTAGTGCAAAATCCCAAGCTCAGGTTCTATCGTCTCCATCGGTTGGCAAACCCCTCTTCCATGCCTCAACAAATGCGGCCTGGAAGGCCAATCTGAGAACCCCGCGGATTGACGGCTCAGCTACGTTCCGAATGCTGTCTGGAACGGCATAATAGACCTGCATGCCAACGGGATCAATACCCGTTCGGTGCCCCCAGATAGCCCGGCCAACATGCATCCTCTTCGCAGTCTCCAAACGCGGCGACAATAAGAACGGGAGGCAGGGCATATAATATAAGGCTTTTCGGCGGCTTGAGGGCTGGCTCGCCGGATAGGACTTCCTGCAGATAGACCACTGGCCATGTGGCGATTGACGAATAGACCAAGTTGGGAAGCATGCCGGTTCCTAGCCATCGTCTTGGAATAAGTGCGTTTCGAATTACCATCTGGAGGAATAGTCGAAGAGTAAAGCAGAGCCACCATATCAACTTTCTTTCCAAGTCTGTGATCCCTGAGACCTGTGGCTGAGATGTGGTTGGTGACTCCATTGAGTAGGATGAATCTGGCGAAAACCGCTGTGTAGAGTGCGTAGAAACTTGACAAATGGTTGGACCAAGTGATGTTTGACGAGTGACGACTTTTCAGGTTTTTAAAAATCAACGGGTTATACTCCCTGGTACAATCAACATGATCGCCTTTTGGATGCCTAATGCATTGCTCATTGGCTTGTTGGTTGCGTTGGCTGACGGGATCAACGCACGGGGTGAAACTGACCAGCCACAGCCACGAGAATTGCTGATGCCGGTCTTGTCTAGCGATTACTTTGGTTGGACAGAAAGCAAACTGTGTCGGCCAAGCCAACACATCTTGCATCTCACTCCGTATGACATGGATATGGCCACCTGCGCCCAGGCCTGTAACAGAGGAAAAAGGCGCCAACCGCTGATGCTGCGGGTGATTACGCTTCTAATTATGTCGTCTTCATCCCTCATGGCTTGGCACTCGCCTCATCCCTCTCTGGGGTGAATTTGAACCCCAGCTCTTCCAAGGTCGTGGCCTTGCAGCCTTGGTCCTCGAATGCCCTCTTTGCTTCTAAGAAAATATTTCGAATCCAAAATTGCTTACGCCCCCACCGTGGCGGCTCCTTGCCCAATTTTGAGGCAGTCATAGCGTAGTCATGCAGCTCGTTCAAGTAGACGCCATCTTGGCCATTGGGCATGATATGCAGCTTGTCGCCAGCCTCCTCTGCCTCTTTGTTCCACCTCAGCATTTCGGGCTTGGGCGGCAGCTGCAGGTGGTTGGACCATATGGCTGAAAATACCGCTGCCTGGGCTTCCGAGATCGGAAATGGGACGATGCGCATATTCAGCGCGGAAAAAACAAGGGTAGGATGTTGGATGTAGAACATGTGCTTGTATAAGCCATGTATGCATGATCCATTCGTGATGAGATCCTTTTCAAGGTTGTTGAGGAACGGGAGACTATATCGGAATCCGGTGCAGAAGATGATGGCGTCAATATCCGTCTCCACGCGCCCGTCTTTGAGTCTCACGCCCTTCTCGTCAACCAGAAACTCTTCGATCTCGCCAATCTCCCGACAGCCAGTGTGCTGCAGAAATTCCGGCCGTGTCTCGTGTCTAACTGACAGAATGGTTTGTCCCTTGGACACGCTGTTGATTTGGTAGGCGATGTCTAATCCCGACGGCCCGTTACCAACAATGACTGTCTTTTTATCTCTAAATGTATCCACAGAATGATAGTTCTTGGAGTGAATGATGATTGAGGGATGCGTCCGATGGAAGTCCCTTATATTTTTGATATCCGGGACGAAGGGAGTAGAGTAGTGTCCATTGGCCACGACGACAGCGTCAAAGACGTCTTCAAAAACTTGCCCATCGACAGTCGACTGAGCCGTCACCTGCCATTTATCTCGGCCATTCTCAGGCTGCAAAAGGACGCGTTTCACCTGGAAGCAAAACTTGATCAAGTCCCGCACATCCTGAGCGTATTTCACCAGGTAATGCTGTATATCGTGCCGGCTGGGATATATCCAAGACTCTTGCGGAAACTCCAAATCCGAGAACATCATGAGAGATTTGGGGATATTGGCATGCAGCTTGCTGTACATAGGCGATGGAAATATCGGGAACTTCTCATGCGGCACACGGGCTGGTTCATCTGGAGGGTAAAATGGACTTGTCTGGGGAATAGGATTCGGAGCTGGTACAACGGTGTCGTAGTTCCAGACACCACCGACCTCTGCCTGTTGCTCAAAGACTACTATTCGGTCATATGTACCTTGAGCTCGGAGGTATTTTGCAGCGGCCAGTCCACATGGACCAGCGCCGATGACGGCAATGCGCTTGACATTGAATGTGCTCGGGTATATCGAGCCCATTGTGTCGAGATGTGGGAGCGGGGAGTGGTGCTGATGAGAGCTCAAGGAACAACAACCGGTGGAAAGAAGAAGAAGGGGAGTGTCTATGCCAAAACCATCGGCTGAGGACTGGTGTGACTCTTCAAGTCGCACTGAGTAGATGAGTGTTGTCATGCCGCCATTGGATAACGGCGCCGACGTAACGTTAAATGCCGACTGCTTGTGGATTGTTCGAAAGGCGTGCTCCGCTCTTGCTATTAGTCCATCGCCCCATCGCCTAAGCCCACCCAGGCTCAGACTGCTAGTTTGCCAGTTGCCAATCAGCTGCTGACAGTTGACGGCCAATTGGCTTATGCCCCCAGTGCCCATGGCTTGAATGTCTGGACCCTCTGTTCACCGCCTGCCCTTTGAAGATTCATTTTGTTCTCACAAGCTTCTCAGCAGCCATTCAAGCTCCGGACTGGAGCTCCAAGTCCGCAAAACATCACAATCACATCCACGCGACAACGACTCCCGCTCCCCTTCATTTGCATCACACAGCCCAAACGATGCAGTTGTTGACCCGGGCGATTAGCTCTTCAACTCGTTTTGCATGCTGTTAACACTCACATGACTGTCGTAGGTGCCTCAGATTCTGACCTTCGACATGGCAGATCGAGCGCCGTTGGACGCTCTTCGAGAATCCCTGGCTACACCAATAGCTCAATTAAATCCTGAAATCGCCGATGCAAAGTCCCGCGTTGTCGACGGAGTTGTTACCATTACTTGGCCATACAGTACCGTGACAAAATCGATCGCATTCATCCTCGCCGAGCATGATATCCTGATACGCCGTGACCGTGGACAAATTCGAGTCGAGCTGCGCGGTGCTTCTGGCCAAGCTTTTGCAGATGCGAATATTGGCGGTGGAGACCAACTTCGAATAAGCTTAAATGGTGCTCAATGGACCAATAACGATGCGAAGACCGGTTTGCCAGCCGGAACGCTCGAATGGCAACTGAACTTCACCAGTCGCCTATTGCTTTCTATTCGAAGAGTCGAATCAGCAGGTCCAGAGGTCATTGATGTCAATGCCTCAGAAGACCTTGTCGATGGTGTCTTGGAGCCTCGTCCGGATCCGCGTATGACTCCGCCACCGGGGTCTGTCGGTGTGGAAGACCACGAGGAGATTTCAACTCCTGTCGCACAATCATCTCACTCAACCGTCCTATTGAAACGGCTTGCCTCCGAAACCTTTGAACCAGAAGAGTATGCATCGCCAGCATTCCTAAAACGAGCCAGAGTTTCCTACGGATCTTTATTCGAAGGCGAATTAGACCTATTCGGAGAGGATAAGGAAAAGAATAAAAAGAGCAGACGAAAGTCCCGTTTCAGTATGGGCAATGCTGTCTGGAGGTATAGCAGTCGATCGCCGAGTCCCGAAACAAAAGAATTATCAGAACCGGAAAGTCTGGAAAACGGATCGACAGAAGAGATACGCGCGACCGCGGATTCTAGCCAAATTATCCCGACATCGCAGCGGTCTGCAATGGTTGATGAAGGGTGCCAAACTCAAGAATATGACTTCAGTTCTTCAATACACGTTCAGGTTTCGGCTGAAGCGCATTTTCCTGAGCTAGAGTTGACGGCATCACCAACAGCGGGGTTATTTGCTGAAAGGGGTCCAAGTCTGCATACTCCATCAAGAAACTTATTCAGTCGCTCGCAACTGCATGATGAAGTGTCTGATGTTGCGACGGAACCCCTCGGCTCTCATGTCGCTACTAGTCAACACGATCACAATTTCGGCCTTGGACTGTCGACGACTCATGCAGAAATGGTGCCAAGTGCCTTCGGGACCGTGTCAGCACCGCCAGAGCTGATAGGAAGTCATGAGCGCCTTCTCGAGACCACCGTTGCACCTAGCTACCCTGACTTTGCCACAGCGGACCAAGTTTATGCCGAGTCTATGATGCGCCATGACCAAAACTTGCATTTTCAAGAACATGATGTCCATTCAACAAACCACGGATACCAACATGTTTCTCAACGGCAGAGTCCGACTTGGCATTCCGAAGTTGTGTCTCCATATCCACCAGTCCCAAGCGAGCGTCAAGGTCCACAAGCTGCAGTAATAATAGATGGTTCTCCTCCACCAGAGGTTGAGGCCAGTCGTGGCACTGGTTTTCGTACATCACAAACACCCGCAGAAGATGACGAAGCACCTCAAGATCAGGAAGCCTCCCCAATAGTAGGACAAGCTTCAACCCTAGGACAAGAACAATCCGATTCTGAAGATGATGGAGGTGACATGAAGGGTGAAGACTACGACTTACGGAACTACGCACACACCCGGGATGATGATGATGAATCTGTATCAGAAGAAGGCTCAGATGCCCCGGGCAGCGATGTCGAGGAGCAGGCCATAGATTCGGAAGAAGATGGCGATACTAGCGAGGACGAGGAGGATGAGGAAGCAAAATACGCGCGGATAACGCAGCATAGAGGCTTTCCAGAGAGGGAACAGGACGAATTTGCTGGATCAGAGAATGAGGAATTAGCAGATGTGGAAGAGGAAGAAGAGCAATTCTATGATGAGGAAGGCATGGATGAAGAGAACGAATACGACGAAGACGAAGAGGTAGACGAAGAATACGACGAGGAAGATTACGAAGAGGATGCAATTGACGAGCTATCAACTCCTAATAACCCAAGAGAGCCGGTTTGTATTGACCTGATATCCGATTCGGAAGATGAGGAAAGAGATGATGAACTCCCGAATGAAGAGCCCCAACACATAATACGAGGAGAACAGGACCAGCGTGAGGACCACACATCACCATATGAAGAGGAAGAAATTGAACAGGTTATCAAGGAGCCTACGACTGCGAGACATCCTGATGACAACGAGGTTGAGGAGGAGGGTGAAGAATCTGAGCCTATAGCAGATGAAGTCACCGAAAGTGAGGCGATTCAACCAAGCACGGCATCTCAAGATGCTGAGGTGGTGGGCGTTACAGAGAAGCAGGAAGCACATGATGAGATGGACGTTGACGAGGTGGCCTCGGAGCCATCCAATCAGAATGCCGTTGAAGAGACTGAAATGTCCGGTATTGTGGCTCAGCAAACCACAAAGGATGATACCCGAGAGATAGCGCGGCATGAGGAGCACGCCACCAGAACCTCACCTGTTGAAGATGCTGGAAACATACCCCATGAGGCGGACGTCTCTGAGGAGCAAACGGTAGCCCATGAGTCCTCCACTGACGGAGCCGATGTTAAGACGATGGAGCCCTTGCCAGCTGAAGATATTCAGGGACCAGCTGCTAAGCTAGGTGAGCCAGCTGTCGAACAGGAACCTGAACAACTAACAGACGAAACCGAAGCCGCAAAGAATGTTCAACTTTCTACACCTACGGAAACACAGGTTTTGGAGAAGACTACGGAACCCTTACCTGCTCAAGAAAAAGAAGGGGAAGAAGATTACAACGATTCCGCTGCCGCCGAGGACCAAATCATGAAGGAATACTGGGAGTATCAATCCCCCACCTACAAAGGTTCTACAGCACACGTCAAGACCGGCGCGGAAGCGGCAACTGAAGCACCTGAGCTAGCAGAACCAGAGGAATCCGACGTCCTGATCACAGTCGCGTCACTGCGTAGCCGCCACCGGTCTCACCAAAAGACCCTGTCTGCTGATTCTACAAGTTCAGCACCTAAGGATCCAAGTGTGCTCTTAGCTCAAGCCAGCAGCCAAACCCGCTCAGATGAAGTCGAGCCGGAGCCAGAGCCCGGCAAGGAACCAAGTTCGCCACGCATGCTGCGCATCATTCGGAGCACCAAGCCCGAGCATCCGGATCCAAGCATCCTCCTCGCCAAATCGTCGGCGGAGCCATCCAAAAGAGACGAAACACCCGGTCCAACAGTCCGGGTGACACGCAGCATGACGGGGCACTCTGAAGAACCTTCCTCCCCTATAGGAATCAGAACATCTAGGCGCGCCGCCACGCCCGAAACTCAAACCACCCATCGTGACGACCAAGTGCTCGTATCCCCCTCCATATCGGGCTCCTTCGTTGATGACGAGTCCCTCTCGGCCCTGAAGCGCCAACTGCAGAAGGACCTGCGCACAAAGCTTCCCGACCACGTCCCCCTTCGCTCCCTCCGCACATCCCTCAATAAGATAGTCGACGTCCTCGCCGTGGCCACATCCACGCCTCCGCAGCCGCACCGTCCTAAGCACGGTCCGAGGGACTACATGCTCGAACTGACACTTACCGACCCGTCTTCTGCGCCGTCTGGCGTCAGTGTAGCGCACATTTTCCGTCCGCACCAAGCCTCCCTGCCTGTCGTTCACAAGGGGGATGTCGTATTGCTACGTCGTGTCACGGTGGTGTCCATAAAGGGTCGTGGTTTTGGGGTCAGGGTCTGTGATGCCTCCGCGTGGGCCGTGTTTGAGATGGGTGACGATGAGATGCTCCCTCAGATTAAGGGACCGCCAGTGGAAGTTGCCGATGAGGAGGTTGAGTATGCGGGCGGGCTGAGGAAGTGGTGGGGAGTGCTGGACCAGGCGGCCAGAGGCAAGATTGATAAGGCTACGCAAAAGGTGGTGGGTTAATCCGATGAATAGTATCCCTGTGCCGGAGGAAACGAGTGTCTGGTCAAATGTTTTACGAAGTTATGATTCGGCTTAATGGAGAGAGGACGCTGTTGGCATGTGAAGCCCGCACATACGGAATCTGCAATTCAAGAAGATGATGCCTTGACGGATAATATTGGTCACTCGTGCATACAGCAGACTGGATCTTGCTACGTGTAATAATGAAAGACAGTCATTTCATTGTCTGGTCTATATAGTTGATTCATGTAGGGGGGTGGATATACGGGGCAAACAATGCACTGCAACAGTCATGCCGCCACGAATAACAATGGACAAGAGTAACACATGCTGTTGCTCATCTCACATGCTTCTTCACAAGAGGAGGTACATTGGGCCGTGACCACTCAAGTAAGTACCTGCTACATTGCCCGCGCGGGACCTAGATCCAGTAGTTCGAGATGCGAGCGGGCCGTGAGTCACCCACACGTGTAGAAAGGCACCACTTTGGAGGTTGGAGAATGCGGGGGGACCGTTTCCGACATCACTTCGTCTCGCGGCTAGCCGCTCAAGCTTGCCCCATTGCCCTCCGATGTGCGGAGGAGAAGTGACGACGTTTGGAACCTTGATGAAATGCTGAGGAGTGCCGCTATTACCCGGCGCAACTGCTCTGGCGTCGCGATTCCCCGTCTTGGTTGCGTCGGGGCGATCTGGTGTTGTGCTCATGGCTGAACGTCCCAGATCATGTTGCCGCTGTGAAAATAACAGTTGCTATTTGCTTAGCAGATTAAAGGAAGGCAAGCTTGCTTACGGAGAGTAATCATGCTGCGCCCAACGTCACGTGTCGTCACAAGGCAACCTGGCATCTTGGCCTCATCCACTATTTTCACATTTCTCTGGCTAGCTAGCTCTTTGTACGGAGTAAGCAATCTCATGTCCTCAGGGATGTTGCGAATCGGAGTATTCCACACATGGATCCAGGGGGTCGAGATGGCGCAAAAGTCAAAGTCAAGCTGTACCTACGAGAGAGGGGCTTTGAACCAAAAACAGCCTTAATTCGCCTCTCGTCTATCCCGCCGGGCTCACAGCCAAGTGCGATAGAACCGATGCGCTGTCAGCCGCAGGCAATTTTACAAACGTAGAACTAGATCCTGACAGAGGCACATAGGGAACATGTCGGAAATGCCCAGCTGATGGACTTGTGTGGGGCCGAGGTTAGTTGCCGTTTCACTGTGATGAATGGAATAGACTGCTCAGGGACTCCGTAAAAGATGGTCGCCGTTTTTGTTACCGATGATGCCGAGAGGTGGAGGGCTTTGGGGGTTGGGCTAGACATTACGCCTGTCTATTATACGTCTTGGGCGTTCCAATCAGCCGTGGTGAACAGGATCAAGGTCGTTTTATTAGACGAAGCGATGGCCTTGAAAGCCGAGGCATTTATAGAGAGAAAATTGTCATATGGAATTTGTTGCGGCGAGTGTCCCCGTAAAGGATATTCATGGCTTCGATCTGAACATGCAATTGCTGTTCCCTGGAGTGTATATTGTCACCTCACAGCTCCATTATTGATTCCTCGGTTAGGCTCCTTTATAATGCAACACGAGCATTTCTGCTGCTGGTTCTTACTCCCGACAGCCGGTGTCGAGCCGCCAAGATCAAGGAATAAATGATAGCTCTCAGCAATTGACCTGGTTGACGTGAATCGACCAGCCTTGTATCGAAAGGACTACAATGCTTCCAACCACATCAAGCTAAAGGAGATGGGGCAAAGAGATTTGGGGCACGGATGATGATAATGCCTGGTCTAATTCGAAAGGCGGGAAATGCTGTGCAAAATCAAGGAGGACCCTGCAACCCAGATTCAGAGGCTTGGTGCTTGGCTGGGGCCTGCCCTGGTAGTGGGAGTTGTTGTGATGAAGAATGTTGCAAGTCAACGGAGACATGTGGACTGGATAGATATTGTACGACAGCACCCACTTCAACAACTACTACGGCCATCTCTTCAACAGGCACGATAACAGGTGTTGGCACAGCTACTACCTGGGAAGCTTCGTGTCATAGCAATAGCAATGAAGTCTTCCTAGCAGGATTGCCAGCGACGGTGGTGGCGGCGGCATTCTTGTAATGTTTGATGGATGGCCATGACAAGACCTTGCGATTTGGTCGATAGACCCAGAGACACACCAGTCATTGTAATACAAAGCCGCGGGCTTCTGTCTGTACGCAAAGCAGCTCTCGACGCAAATAGTGCTTTTGTGGTGTTGCGAGATCGCCTTCTGCTGTGGGACAGTAGTCTCAACAGCTGCCATAGAAGAGCGGAACGAACGCCTCCTCAACACGGAGACAAATTCGGTCGGCTAGTCAAACACGTGCAATCAGGATCGTCCCGCACGCTCTTTTCAGAGACTTGGAGAGTGACAATCAATCTGCCCATTCTCAACAAAGGGATCAGCGTCTTGCCAATGTCGAACGACAATCACATGGCGCAGTGGAAGCCGGTTCGGTGCTAGACTCGGTTATCCTCTACTCTAAAGTTCGAAGAAGACGGACTGTAACTTGCCGGATGCCAGCCATTGGATGCATGTGGGCAGACCAAGGTCGTTGGCGTGCATCTTAAACGGTGAACAATGTCATAGGTGGGACAAGCATGTGAAAAGACTGCCTAGGGAGTAGTATGTCCCAAAATGTCATTCGGTGTAACTGTAATTGGACCGGTCCTCAGCCGACAGCCTACGTTGTTGCGAGTGCCGAGCTTCCAACATCCATGCCAGCAAAAGAAAGCCATCTTCATTCAGAAACGGTGGTTGTGGTAAGTCAACGTTCTTCTTCGAAGGCTGGGCTTCGGTTTTTAAGGCGCAACAAGTTCTCCCGCCCGCTGCTAGATTCTCCGCTCGAAACCAAGGATTGTGACCATCAAAGCGAACCTACGAGGATGGGGCGCCAAGGGAACCATGTAGTGTTGTTGTACTGAAACTCTGGTGATGACCACGATGCTGTCCTGCGATGTTATGGTACGGTATATCGTGTTTTGCCTGTAGAATTGGGATGAGACGCGGTTGAAACGTATCGACGACATCGGGCAAGATGGCCCTGGGGGTTTGCCAACACCTTTCTTGACACGGTCCGAAGAACTATCGATGACTAATGCGGGCCATGGCAAGCCATGATGCTTCAGACGATTTCACATTTATGCACTTCGCCGCCCCAAACTCAACCATCAATCAAACACATCAGAGACAATGCTACAGTGCCAATTTGCCAGGCTCAAATCCGTAAGGACGAAAGGAGAGCGAGACATATCTCGGAGGCCGGCACACTGCGACAAAACCTGCAACACGGACAGAGACACAGAGAGACCTGTACTTGGGTACTTGGTCGATGGCGTCGGTGACACAGAGACCCTTGTCAAGTCATCGGGGGAAATCGGAAGCTGGGCAGCGAATCGTTAGGAGACTCCACAGCATGGTACGGAGTAAACTTCAAGGAAGCTTGATCAGCTCCGGGCGCAGTACATGGTTGAAACCGAAGCCATTTGCGCAGAAGTCATTTAGGCCACGAGCACAGATAGAATAACGCTTTTTGTCCAACGGATATCCAAGAGTTTGTAAATGGAACCCCACGCGACAGTGAGACTGTCCAATCCAACAGTTGGCACCAAGAGCGCGCCACCCAGGTTGGCATGTCTTGGCTGTGGCACCCGGTAATGTCTTGGATTTGCAGTGGAGCTTCGAGCATGACAGTGGTCCCATTTTGGAGATTTCGTGACGTTGGAGTTGAGCCAAAGTGTCGTGGATTTTGGGCTTTTAGGTTGAAAGTGATGTGGCCAGCACTATGCACAGAATCTCGACGTAATTGGCACACTTTAGTCGAGCGCCCATACATCAGATACCTGTTTCCGGGTGTTTACTAGAAGTGGCGGCGATGGTTGGTTTGTGAGTCAACAACTGCCCGGCATCGAGTCTCACCTCGAGCGTGATGTGCATTTCCTTCTGGTCACTCTCGTACGCAAGCAATGAGACATGATGTGGCGTTTGTACGGACCAAGAAACAGCCCACTACTCCGTAAAAAGAATACAATTCCAGCTTGGGTTCCATCAGCAATCAGCAAAAAGAGCATGGACAAGGACACGAGCATGGAAATGATGGGATGAGCTCCGAACGGCCCAAGGTGGCTGCATGCAAATGTTTGGATATTATTGCGCGCGCCTCCGCCCCAACATACGAGCACAGAGTACACGGAACATGTACATGTACAACAAGTACAATGGATTGTGTAGGGCAGGAGCACAGGCCGCAGCTTCCTTCTCTGCACAATATGTTCAAGCATTAAAATACATACACATACTCCTCCGTATTAACCCCCAGTCTCATTTAAAGATGGCATGAAGTTGCCTGAACGCTCCTGCCTCGTTGCTCCACTTGCTGTGGAGGACCTGCTCACCACGTTTGCACAGCCCAATTACTCGTATGAGCTTGAGAAAACAGTTTCTCCCACATTGCACGCTCAGGACCTCCTCACCAGTGGAAGGTCGGTCTGGGGGAGGCTTCGGCGGTGGAGCCTGGCATCTGCGAGGGCTGTCGCTGCAAGCCTTGCCGTGAGTCGAGACCTAAAGCTAGTGGAAGCATCATGCTGAAATCCAACCAGGAGAGATGCTACCAAGCAGCAACGAGGGACAGCACAGTCACTGTTGTTGAACCAACACGTTTGGAACAGCTCAGCGCCGGCGGAGCAGACGTCAACGGACATGGCGAGGCATCACGCGACGACAAATCCTGGAGAGCCATGCAAACAAGCGGAAACAGTTGTCCAGCTCTTGTCTGGGCGCTGTCCGTATGACAGGGCGGGCCACGCGAGAGACTCGGCAAACAGCGAACCAAACTGCAGCTTGAATGACTGCAGGTTCCAACTTGCAGGGACGATTCTCAGTGGGGACGGGCGGGAGCAGCACCCCAGGTCAAGGTGCAGTAGCGGCCATTGCCAGGGGCAGTGAGCCATCGCGATTCCGGCGAGGCAGAACGACGCAAGGACCCGAAGTACACGGTAGTGGGCAAGTCGACTTTCATCTCACCGGGGTGCCATCCTCCGGCAACGGCCCCCGATCAGCCTGCCATTCTTCCAATGGACAGACGGTCAAGTCGAGCAAATCATCATCAACCTGACTACAGTCCGCGCCCAGGCTTGTTTCGAGCTGGCTTGCAGTCAACTCGGGTCAGGCCACACATGGAGGAGTAATAGCAACAGGGCATTTGTCTTGTCCAGAGTACTTCTGTTGTCATTCGTAGCTTATATCCGAGGCAAAAGACACAAAGCAGTTACAAATGGCCAAAGTCGTCGTGATAGGGCCCCAACAATTTCTGCTGGCAGCGACAACGGCACCAAGCCTAGCTCCAGTCAGTCACCCATCCATGAACATCAATTGGAGCCGTGGCCTTCCTTTGCCAGGCGTGCGGCCCAAATTAATTCCGTCGTGCCCTGCGTTGGGGCAATTTGACGGTATCATATCGATTAATTCGACTAAAGAAAATTGGGATTCAGATTCGCGCCGACGTGGCGCCGTCTGGTTGTCCTTTGGGGCCATTGCCAAACCTCACTCTTGACTATTTCCAATACTATTCTCCGTACATGCAAAGAAGCAGCTGGCAGGAGAAGTGTTTCTCAAGAGACTCAGAACGCAGCACAAACAGAGCAGCATACTTTCGATTTATGCTTTTCGTGGGGTTCTTTT